AACAACATTTATTAACAGGAATGGAACAAGTCCACACATGAATAAGAAAAGATCATAAATAATACAGTTGTCAAAAAGATTGAAAATCTCAGACTGAGGCAGTCAAGACTGTGCAGTGTGGGTATTTGTACAGAGCACCTGTACAGCAGTTTCTCAAAGCAGGAGATTACCATGAGAAATGTGGCTGGCTAGGGGGGTGGCCTTGGATTAGCATGGGGATGCCTTCCATTAAGAAATTCACTAAGATCAGCTGGTGATACACACAATATATTCAGTTGAAAGTACCACTAAACAGAATCTCAGGCAAGAAACCTATTCTACTTTGACTTCTGATCACTCCAACTCCATCCTGACAGAAGTCAGTTCCCATTTTCCCCCAAACAGAATAATTCTGGTGATAGGTACAATATTCTCCTTTCATAACCAGACTAAAGTAAAACAGGGGAAGAAAATGCTTTGAAGAAACACAGACATTTTAAACAAAAACAATCATTTTTCTAAATGGTTTTATTTACATTTTTCATATACAAGTATGTTAAATGATACATTCTGACTAGTATCCACACCAGTGTGAATTAATTACATGGATTAAAGCTACTGATGTATTGCATATGATGAAATGCAAAACAATCAACCCTAAGCTGTGGTCCCACCCCCTGCATGTGAGATGCCTCAAACAGCATCTGTTACCAAGACATTTAAAAATCAAAATGTCCATATGAAATAGAAATTATCTAAACAAATGTACCTGGTTGCATTTCTTTAGGACAAGCAATAACACAGGAGTCTTGCAAAATTCTCAAGACAAAAAATACATATTAACAGCCAAACCTTTTACATGTATGTTACCAGCTTTGTATTTATTGTTTCTAGACTTGGGCTACTTGTCACAACTGTTTTCTGGATCTAATTTTTATGTCTTTAATTATGGCAACCTTTCAACCCCTATTAACAATGTTCAAAATGACCAGGATATAAAGGTAAAAGCTGTGGTGTGAACTGGCCTGAAGCATTCAGGACAATTACAGAGGAAAGTTTCCATTCAGAGTAACTGGAACTAAAAATTCCTTAATAATAAAAAAAATATGTTGAAAATATGTGAATACAGTTTAATAAATGTGCCTAAGAGGATTTTCAACCTGGTGATTTCTCAAAGGAAACTAGCAGAGGAAAAAAAGGCAACTTCAAAAGCTTCAGAACTACTGAAGTATTCAGGAGACTGGTAAAGCAAATGTTCTTTCATGAGCATGAAAAGCATTATCAGGTCTTTCTGTATCTAAAAGATGGTTCAATCAAAGTGACAAAGGAAACAGCAACAGACAGGTGGGCCTATGGGATCACAGGGTATTAAACTGGATTTATTTGCACATTTCTGTAGCCCCTTTTAGGCAGGTGCCAAAAGCACTTTAATCACTAGAGCAGCCTCACAACAACCCTGTGAGGTAGGTAGGTATCTGGTAAAGAACAGGTTAAATAACTTACCCAGGGAGACACAGCACATCAGCAGAGCAGGCTAGAGTCCAGAGCGGGTGATCTATGATTTAATGGTATGGCACAGTGGGGCTGACTTAGCACTCCTTTATACAACTGCCATTCAACAGAGCCAAGGTTCTGAGAGGAGGTTTTTATGAGAAAGGTTATCAGAAGAAAAGTGTGCTTTAAGTAACTAGAGAAAAGAAGAGTTTGGGAAGGATAGCACTACTGTTCCACTTCCTAAATTTTAAGAGATGCAGAATATCAAGTTAACTATTTTGCTTGCTTAAACACTTATCACATCCAAAACTCTACTTAGATGTTCAAATATTATGACCCAAAACCAGCTGTGAACTGGGAGTTGTTTCATCCACTTATATCATTTCTAAGTCCTGCAATTCTTCTTTGAAGGTCAGAAGAAATAAGAACCAGTGCAAGAATCCAAACTTGTTTCAACAATTTCAACTTTAATAGTGTCATTCCCATTAACAAACTGTCAAAGCATGCTCTTCCTAACTCATCCCCATGTTCTACTGACTACCTAACCAGTCACAATGCAGAGAGCAGAGCATCTAAAGCAGTGCTTGGCACACAAAATGCTCAATGTGAAGTATTTGGATACTTGAGCATGCTCTGTGTACCAGGTGTGGTGAGCTGGATGAACACAGTGCTGAGCACTGCACCAGGGAACACAGTCACACACAGAAAGCACAGCACTCAGCAAGCTGAACAAACACAGCCAGAAAACCCAGAGGCAATCACAGCAGCAAGGCCTGCCCTTCCAAGTTACACATTACAGAAAGAACTGGCACATGCACTTTTTGTGCAGAGAGTTTATCAACAATTCCTACTGAAGGCTGGAAGTGACTGAAGAGAACACATTTGTTAAGTCAGACAAAGGGGAATTTAAAGACTTCCAACAACTTTGAGAGTACAGCTGTTTAAGGGCTAATTTCTTTTTTTGTAAGGCCCTTTTCATAACCCTCACCCTGGCTCATCTTGCAATACACCACAACTAAGGAACACTTTTCAGCTCTGATTTATGTCTTGCAGAGGGCAAAATCCTCTAGTGAAAGACAACCAGGCAGAAAAGAACCCCCACTTCCCTCCCCCTTTCTGTCTTTTTGGGATGCAAAGAGAAAACGTTTTCATGTTAAAGAGTAAAATCCTTTTTAGACATCAGAGGAAATGCAGGTAACAGATGACTGAAGATTTTATGAGGCAGCAAAAGTAAATTGAAAGCAGTGCTGGAGATCTACCATGGGTTTATTTTACTAAGTCATGGCTAGAAAGTTATATACTTCTAAACAGCCCAAGAAAAGTTTTCTAGCAGGAGGAGACTACTAAAAATGCCAAGGAAAAAAGCTTTTGGAAAATACTTCCCTCATATTCCTTGCACAACTTAAGGCTGCAATAAAAAGAAGCCTGGACAGAATTCCTCCACTCAGCCTTCAAAAATTAACTGAAATCTTTAATTTAACCACAGGGTTTAAAGAACATTTGATAAAGCATTTTGATTTGAATTCACCCAGATGGACTGCACAAATGATATGCAACTGAAAACAACACTGACAACGGTGCCCAATTGTGTGAGCATATCTGTTTTTAGAGAGGAATTTGGAAATAACTTATTTCAACTTACAGCTATGTATGCTCACACATGCTTTAAAAAACCAGAGAAAAGCATATTGCTTTGTTTGGAAATTGGCCACTATCAGTTGGAACGTGTCACTGTAAACAGGAAAGTTGAAAATTAAGTCATAACTGTGATTTTAAAAATTTGGCTGTTAAGATAAAAGATAAATTTTGAAAACTACCTTCTTACATTTCTTTCAAATACAACCCTCTTCAGGTGGAGCCTCTACCGGAAATCCACAGTTCCTATTTTTGTTTTGAACAACAGAACTCTATATTCCATTTCTCTAATATCTGAAGTGTATTAATAAGCAGACACACAAGAACTGGTGATGGTTATGACAATTCTTCCCCTCTCAGAGTTACCTCGTGTTCCCTGGTACCCATAACTGCTGAGGTGCTGATCTGCTCTCCTTGATGGAACAGGTAAAAAACTCTGCCCTAGACTGATGCAAGTTTGCCACTGTTAAGGTTTCTAAATAGTCTTAATTATAAATTAGGGGAGGTGATGTCTGTCAGTCCATCTCTGAACGTGGTTTAAGACAGGGGGCTTTACACTGACAACAGGACTGTCTGCTGAAGGATGCACAGTGTGGTACTGGCTTTCTGAAATGGCCTCACTCAACCCTTAAACTTGAGGCATGAGAAAGGTAAAGGTTTTAAAAAAGCACAGAAATCAGGCAATTTAATGAAATTCTGAAATAAGATTAGATTCTAAAAACTAGAACCTGTAGCAAAAATTTCAGGGTACTCGTGTACTAATGGATTTGGCTGCAGGGTTTGAAAAGGAAAAACTTGTATTTGTATGTTAGTCCATTTGCAATCTCCCAACCATGAATAAACATCAACATTCTAACTACTGCTACAAACAGGATAGTGAAAACTCCAGATATTTAATTTGGCAGCATTCAATTTAGATGGCACTCACTATTTGGCACTGTAGCATCTTTCTATGAACTGCAATATAAAAAATTCTGCTCGAGTCCCATGATCCCAATTTTCTGTATCTTCAAAATGTACTGCCAGACATTTCTGGATAAGTAATTGAATGTAAAATAAGATATGATAACTATGCAATGAAATTTCACAGCAAATGGAAGAAAAAGAGCTCATTTCTCATCTACAGAACATAGGCCCCCACCCCTGAAGTTCAGCATATAGAAAATCTGTCTCAAGGAAGATGTGCAGCCAGAGGATGCCCACAGAAACCATGTGTATTAGTAATAAATACCAGCTACAGAAAGGAATCAAACCAAAATGAACACCACCACCCCCCCATGATTATACAGGGAATTTCATGGCATGTCATTAGAGACAGTTCACTGACCAATGCACTTAGTGATAAGTCTTACCCAGTTATGGAAACAATCACAATTTGTTGGGATTTTTAAAAGCTAATGAGTTGGGCTAATGCATTTTCATTCCAGAAATTAACTTCCATCCCCACACCCTCCCTGCAAACACTGTTCACAGAAACATTCAAATCCCTAAGAAAACAAAACAAAAAAAATAAATAAAAGAACCAAATATTCAGAGAAACTCACTCAAATAAGTTTGTATGTGTAAATAAAAAAAAATTCTCTAAGTAAATGACACGGGAGGCAATAAATTGACACGACAAGCAAATAAAAGGCTAAAGCACTCCAATACCATTGAAACAGTTTTAATGTTGTTGCAATTCCATAATGCAACAATCATCAACTCAGGAAAGACCCAATACTTTAGAATTCATTTTAATCATTCCTTTGTACCTATTTTACAAAATAAAGGCAAGGCATATTTAAAATCCCCTTTCCCCTAGATATTATGTGCCTATCTTATTCATGCTTCTAAAAATAGAAACTTAAAATCCTATGAAATGTTATGTAAGAAAAAAATGTAAAAATATTAACCTCTGCTTCAATGTACAGTTTCCAGAATCTGCCAGAACTGGGGAACTGGGCAACAAGGCGTTCATAGGTCTTCCGTGCTTTGTCTATAGGCTGATTCTAAAAATTGAAAATCAAAACAGCATTTACAGTATTATGATTCATGTCAATGAATATGCTGATTTTACTCCAGAACCAAATAGTGTGAGTGGACCATAGATAAGGAAATGTAATCCTATATCACTAAACCTGTGCCTCTCGAATGAGAATGCTCCAAGCGTCAAGGTCATATGGATTTTCTTCTAGTTTCTTTTCAGCTTTCTTCACTTTTTCTGGCACATATTCAGCAGTCTAGAAAAATTAAAAAGAAGACATAAGAGATCACAGGCAGCATTTGAAAAGTTCTGTCCCACCTACACAGTCAAGCAAAAAAAACATTTCAACAGTGGAATATTTCAAAATGCAGTTTCTAAACTGGAATTCAGCTGGAAAAGAAGTTGTCCCAGGAAGATAAAGCACACTCAGCACAAGTTCTACATCTTATGGACATCGACCAAGATGTTGGACTAAACCAACTCAATGTCTCTAAAACATGAAAACAAATTGGAGTTTGCTGGAATATTTACCGCACTATGAATTTTAAACATTTTTACCAACCTGCAACTTTAAGATGCAAAAAGATTATTTCTATCCCAGAACTGAGGCAAACAAATCCAGTTTATCCAGGAGTCATTGTGGACTTGGAGAACAGAAGTATTGGGTACCACAGGTTCAACAAGCAGAGCAGGAGATGATGTTCAGCAGGAACACACACACACCATCCGAGCACAATTCCTTTGCTCACTTTCTGATCTCTCAACCCTACAGATGCTCTCCTGTAGTTTTGGCCCTAACATCGCCTTTTTTTTAAAACACTCATTGTGATTGAAGTTTAAAGGTTTTTTTCAGGCTAAAAGTTGTACCAAACTGACTGCAAACTTTTTAACGCCGTTACTTTCAAACACTTTTGGAAATAACTTGCTTTATGATTTTCAGGGTTTTTTTTTTCCTAGACCTAACACTGTTAACACAAGTAGAATAACAAAATTACAGTGTGAAGATCACATAGAGACACCCTTAAAATACATGCTTGTTACAACCCTAAATGAACTGAAGTTTATTAGTTAAGCCTGAAATATTGTTCTGAGCTGTACTCCAAAGCAGTTACTAACTTTGAACACCTGGCTCATTTTTAGGCAGGTCAGAGCAATACAAAACCCACACCAACTAAATCCCTGCCTCTGTGAGATGTAATAGTAACCCTTAAATCATTACTGTAAGATCTTGCTGGTGAAATTTTATAATTTCACTACATAATTAAAAACATTCATCTCTAATGTACCATGCAGTGTGACTGATTTATGAAAAAAATCAATTTTAAAACTTGCAGAAAATTCTAAAAAAAAAAAAAAAACAAACAACCAAATTCTGGCATTTGCTAGAAGATTATTTCAAGGAGTTTGCTACACTAGTTCTGAATAAATGAGAAGCAGCAGGTAACTACACTAGTTCTGAATAGTTTTCAGCATCACCAGTTTTTGTGTCAGTCCCACTAGCAGGATATAATTCAAAGCATATCCCTTTAAATATATCACTTAATAAAATGGGAAAAGGTTCAAAAATATTGCACAACTGTTAAATGGACATATCTGATATTGCAGGTATACAATAAAGGAAAAAAAAAAATCAGTAGGCTGATTTTATAGGAGGCTAAACACCATTACTTCTTTTGATTCACTTTTCAAGCAATTCTTAACACTAATGCAAAGCAGGGCAGCTTGGAAGGCAAACATCAAATCCCACATTAAACTATTATAGAATTAATTTGATTAAAAAAAATCAAAGCAGCACTAAGCAGTCAACTCTGAAGTAGTAAATTCATAAACTGCCATATGAATAGTTTTACACTCCTAAGTCCATCAAAATTTGGATTCTGTAGTAGTTCAAGTGACACAAGCTTAAGATGTAAAACAGTATAAAATATGTAGTGGTTTTATTTCTTCCCAATTGACATGCATAGACATTATTCAGCTTCCAGAAGCTGAAATTTCTGCATTTTAAAACTACTTCTGTAAGCTACCCCTCCAGGTGACCCAAAACTGAAATGTTGCTTATTCAATGAAGCATTAATTGAAATACACCACCATCAGAGGGAAATTCACCTGTCTCACATAAATGATTCTGGGTGCATGAGACAGAAGGGTCTGGCAGCTGCACATCAATGTCTGCTACAACATAAGGACCCCACCTACAAAAGCACAAGGTCCTGCCCTCTAAGTACTGACTTTTAAACAATATTCAACAGAATGGGCCACTGAAGCACCTTTCAGCTATTCTATCAGTAGCTAAGTTGTGTTTCCTCAAATCTTTCCAGGTGACACAAAAACATCCATCTCATGTTAAGACTTCCAGGAATTTCATTCACCTATGCAGATACAGAGTCATAAACTCAAACTCAGAAAGGCAGAAAGAGCTCTGGAAAAAATAGATGGGGATAAGATGCACAACCACAGCAATCCTACATGAATTTTGTGTATTTGATACACGAATCAAACTATGCAAGAAGCAGAATTACTTCTGTAATTTCAATATAAATAACTTCTGTAACTTGCTGTACCTTGGGTGAGCTCAGTGAGCAGTCCCTGTGCACCTCCAGAGGTCTCAGGACTCGCTGCACTGCAGGCACAGCCATGGCCTGGCCCTACCCCTCACTGCATCTCCCCAAACAACCACTCCTAACCCCCTGCAGGAACCAACACTCGGCATTTTCCGGACGTTTGGCCAGAGCTGGATGAGTGAACAAACACCTACAGCAGCTCACAGCAAAATGGAACCACGAGCCTGACCCTTAACTTAAGCACAGGCAGGAAAAATGTGACCCCAGTTTTGAGCTTTGTGCTTGCAGCTGCTGCTATCACAGTTCAAGGGCACACTGAAATGATGTATTTCTCATTGTAGGGCTTGCACAACAGCCAAGGTCCAAACTGGGACCATGGAATTCCTGGCTGTTCACCGCCATTATCCTGCCCCTAGATAAGCATTTCCAGGGAAGCTCATCCTGTAGCAAACCACTTCAGGGAGTTCAATCAGCAGAAAAATAATCCTGTTGGGAAAGGGATTCACTTTGTAATGGTTCAATCTCGAAAAGGGATTCACTGTGTAATGGTTCAATCTCCTGGTTTCAGGATCAGATGCAGCAAAAAGGACACAAAACCATTCAGGACTCCAGCAGCCTCAACTTAAAACCAAGAGAACCTAACCAGATACTGGCTTTTAACTTGTCTTGGCTTTAACTTTTCTTTTACACAGACTGTGTAAAAAAACCCCTTTTTCCTCTGCTTTTGTTAACTCTGTGCAGTAGAGCTCTACATCATCAGGATCCTATCCCATGAGCAACTCTCTGAAGGTCATGGAATTATTTTAGCTCTTGGGTTTTCTACAGATCACCACCACCTAGTCCAGCTCACAACTACCCTTTTATTATTTACACACTGCCAAACAGCAACAGAACTGAAGTCTCACAGATACTAGAAATATAAAAAGATCTTTCCAAAATCTCAAGAGACCTAAAGCCACATTTCTAGGAAGGGATCTAGGAGCTCCTTCCCATAAAATACATCAACTCCACAAAATCCAATTCTGAAGTCATAAAGGATGTCTGAGGGAACAAAACCAGAGGAAATCAAGTTCACTTTTAGTATTTGCTTATTTATCAATCATCTCCAAGGGAATATTCTTGGTTTATATTATATTCCTAAAATCAACAGTTTCCTCAAGTCTCTCAAATAAATCTTCATGATTCCAACCAAAGTATCTAAGAAAACACCTAAATACCTTCAAATTGTCTGCAAAACTAAATACATCCAGTAGTTTAAGGCATCCTCCTGTTTCCACAAAAGGATCCTCTGCAGTGGAAAGTAAATAAATATGTTTACAACACCTGCTACATCCAGGGAGTGGCCACCTCAAGATGCTCTAAAAACTACCACTAATGATGAAATAAGAACTTCTATAAACCAAAGCAGATTTTTCTTGCAGGATTGTGTGGGTTTAACATCACAGGAGGAGCTGCTGGATACAAAAAGGCAGGAATTGTAATGGCTACTTTAGTCAAATTGCTTTCTGGCCATTCAGACACAGCCAGTTTGCTGGTTTTGCACACTTCAGCACAGCCTGACCTGTGAATGGAATTTCAAATATATTAACATCCACTATATTAACTTGACAAGCATTGGTAGTTGTTCAGTTTGCTAAATTTACAGGTTGGTTTAGTCTAAGGCTTTTTGCCCTTTAAGCTTATTTAAAGCTGCATGTGCAGAGAAGAACAAGTTTTAAAGCCCTTTCCTCAGTAACACAGCCCTTCACTGGGGGAACTGTAGTTTCAGCCTAGCAAAACTTGCAGTTTCTTAAATGTTTTTAACGCCTTGATTTCTTCTATTCTACACTAAACCACTTGGGAAAAATGTGTCCTTTAGGGCTGGAGCAGACACAGCCCAGGATATTCATCTTGAACAAAAAAGGAACTTCTGTAAGCACTGCCCCATCCCAACATCATCTGGGCTCAAAACTCCAGAGAAATTGAAATTTTAGATTAGCAATGATTACCATTCTTTCCTCATAGGACTATTTCCCAAATGTTGCACTGAGACTTTTTTCACTTGAACTTCTTATTTGCATACCTGGAACTTACTGACTCTGGAAATACACCTAAATGATAATTTATTTACAACTGTGCAAAAATTGTCATTAAAGCACTGCATTACAAACCCAGGAGCTTTCCTTCAGCAATACTTGCACTTATTGTGTCTACTCTTAAATGGCTCCTCCTATGATGTTAAACCCACACAATCCTGCAAGGAAAGTCTTCTTCCAGCACTGCATTTAGTGACATCTATTTTTAAAATATTGAACTAAAGTTAACTACAACTTCACAACATTCACTACTGTCTTTAGCACGCAGAAACTTTCATGATGTACCACATCAAGCAGACACATGACAAAGAGAGGAAGGAATCAAAAGGGACAAAAGTACCTGAAGAAACCAGAACAAACTGGTTTTGAGGTACTTTTATAGTCACAGAGACAATACAGACATCTTGTTTTGTACAGATCCATATTCATGGAACATAAAAATGCATCTCAGACTGGGGCAGCATCTTAGAAACTCTGACTGGGAGTGTGAAATGCATGTTGTAATCTTAAAAGACTGGAAGGCAACTCAGGCAGGGGCAAAGCAAATGTTATGTGACCATCAGAGGAAGGTGATGCCTGGCAAGCATTTACAGTGGGGAATGGAGGTTTTGTCACCAAGG